AGTTTGGCAATTGGTATATTACAAATTTATTATTAATGGGTTAACTTATATTTTCTAAATATTTTTAATTACGCGTCAATTTTAAAAGTCGCGTATCTTAAGGTGAATCAGTTTCCAAATATAACCTTGTGTGAACGTGCTTCCCCTGTTTGATTTTCATCAATTGTCCGTTCGTTTCCAATATTAATCTTTTAACTATTTCCAAGCTAGAAAAACTGCCAGAAAAGAAACAAGTATCCTGAATTTTTAATGATAATGTGCCCATTTCTTTCCTTTGAATATTTAACCAGTGATTTTAATAGTAATTAATTTTCTGTGCAAAACATTGGCATTAAATACCACTTAAAAAAATATATACACAGTAAAATTTTTAGTTTAAATAAGTATTATCCCTATTGTTTCATATTTTACCAATATATAAACTGCAGCGATGAACACGCATTCTTTCTTAAACTTCTGCAAATTTTGTAGAGTTTCAAGTCTTTGGTAGGTTAATTATGATGTCAAAAAGAAACCAATATATCATCGAAGAAATTTTTTAAGTTTAAATTTATGGTGCAAAATCCTTTTTATGCTCTTAATAGTATTTAAATCAGTAGTTTTGGAGTTTAAATGCAGTAAAAACTGATTGCATTAAAAGAAAAAAAAAACGAACAAGGAACGAACTCTCAATTCTCTCTCAACTTTAGTCTTGTAAATCAGTTATGTTGTCAAAAAATATCTTGCATATATCCGTTTTTTTTAAAGAAATTTTATTACGCTTTTGTTCCTTTATGGTCAACAGTTGACAACGAAACTGTGAATTAGCTTTTTTTTCCTTTATAGTTAGTTCAGCCCTGAGATAATAGATGAGTACTCGTTTTTTTTTTTTTTTTTAATAAAAATAGATAATCAAAGAAATTGCCAATATGTTTTTTAACCATTAGATTTTACTAAGCCTGTTGTAAAAAAGAAATATTTAAAAAAAAACATATAATTCTTAATATTAATATTTTTTACAATATTTTTAATAATATTAATATTAATATTCTTAATATTTTTTCCTATTCAAAAATGTATAAAAGCACTTATATATTTGTATTACAGAATATACTTATCCTCAAATTTAATAACTTTTTTTAAAATTTCATTTTGAGGTTGTGAGTATTCTCTCTGCTGGTGGCGGGATCGAATGATGTATAACTCACTTCTCTGACTGACATTTCAAAGTTCCTTGATTTTGTTTGAAATTTTGGATATTTAAGATTTAATGAAATGGTGGTTGAAAGTTGAAATCTTCCCAGTCTTATTTGTATTTCAATACTTTATCTCTTATCTACTTTATTATAATAACCGTATTAAGAAGTCTCAAATAGTAACTAATAGGTCAAACTAGATAAATGTTATAATTCCCCCTTTTTTTTTAAAAAAATTATTACAATCTGAAAATGAATTAACAGTTTTATTTAAATTCATTTTTGTTTCATAAACTTAAATGTTCCATCGCAGTTTATTTTAAGATATTCTGCATGAAAATTGTGATTACTAACTATAAAATAGTTTAAAGGAAATGTTACCTATTATAAGATTTTTAATTGCATTAAGATGTGCCTATTTTCAAACATTATTTTTTTATTCAACAAATTGCAATTATTAAAATAGTTTTTTGAATAAAGTTGAAATATGCCAAATTGCATTTGAAAAGGAAAATGCTATTAAGAGGTGAAATGTATGAGGAAGAATATGCTAGGAAATTATATATATTTTTTTAATACTATTAATTTATATTTTTGATAAAACAATGTAGTTTATATGATTTTTAAAATATTCAATCTACTTTGAAATTTAATTCGGTGCGTTGTCCAATAACCAATCTCAAAGCAGTATCATAGACGCAATTTCTTTCAGTTCCATACGCACCATAGATATGTCCTTTTTTATTTTCTCGTCATGAAATGCATAAAAGAAGTTAAATTGAATTAATGATTAAGAGCTTTATTTTCTTTAAAAGAATTAATAGTATAACATTGATCGGCAAAGCTCTCTGTTTTCCAAAATACAGTATTAAATGTATCAACTGGTAAGAGCTGTGCACTGCTATTTTAAATATTTCATTTAGTCGAACTTTAATAATTTTAATTTTATTTTAGCAGTTACTAAAATTTTTCCGTCTTTAAAAGTTGAAATGATAATTTCCCCACTAATGATTAATTAAATGTTGCCCATCATTAATTTTAATCATTAATTAATCATTTCTTTGTTGTTGAATATAGCGTTTAAGAGCACAAGAGCTGCAGGCTCCTTTACTGCTCCAAGACCAAGCATCGCTAACACCTATTCAATTTAATGAAATCAAACAGTGATATAAAACCAGTTTGATGCAAAAATAAGAGGGATAAAATAATTTGTAATTATCATGCTTCTTTTGAGTAAAAAATATAAGTTTGAATTTGTTATTCAATGTATATATATTTTTTTTAATTTTCTTCCATATAAAATAAACGCTAATTCTTCTAAATAAAATAATCTTGGACCTGCAATCACCGCATTTTTTAAATATTAGTATTTTTTTTAATTTAAAGCTACTGTATTGGTCAATGTTTTAATGTAATTTACATCTTAACAGATCTTTAATAGCTTTTAAATAACATGAAACTGAATATTTAACGTTAATAGTTTTTTTTAATATAACAATATTGACAAATATTGAATTTTCAAGAATAAGACAAATATTGAATAATTGAAAACAAATAATAATAATTTATTGAATAAAACAAAGATTGAATTTTTAAGAGCTTATAAAAGACAATAGACATTCCTTAGATAATAATTAATGACAAGTGTTCTATAAAGCAATGTGTGGATTAAAAGTTTATTAAAAACTTAGGCATTTAAAAATTTTATTTATTGTTATTAAAATGAGTTACATGTTGAGTAAAAATATATTCTCAAAATTAAAGTAAAAATGTTTCCAAAATATTACCAATAAGAAAATTGTCGTTAAAAAAACCCTGAAAACACTTATTCTGATTAAGTATGTAACTTACTATTTCTTTCAAAGATATTTTATAAAATAATCTAAAAAACTAAATGAAAATTAATTTCTTTTAAAAAAAACAACTTAACTATAAAGCAAAGTAAGATTTTATTATTAAATTACTTTAGATAAAAGCGGACAATTAGTGGAACTTACACTGAGTTTGACCATACAGATATTATCTCACTTCCTTTTTGAACCATGATCTAAATATTGTGACATCTCCCCGTGTATAGTAGTGTGACATCTCCCCGCGTAGCACAGTGAGACAGTTCCTAGTGTGACATAGTGAGAAAAATCTCACAATGATATTTGTTCTACTCATGCGCAGAAATTCTATTCAGGACTTACTTGCATGAGGTCTCGACATTATTGTTCGATATTGCAACAATCAACATTACTTGAGCTTCATCAAGTGGTGGTGTTGATATTTACTCTGCAGGATTGACATTTTGGTGAAACAACAGATATGCGTGTTCTGGTTTACTCTACTGCTTGATAAAAAGAGCTTTGACTCTACTCCCGCGCAACGTTTTCACATAATAACTATATTATTATTATTGTTGTTGTTGAACTATTTATTCAAAGAGTGTTAATTTCAATGACATTTATGCCTATAAACAAAGGCAACAAGCTAAATAAAATGGGGGTGACTGAAGAAATAAGTTTTTTGATAATCTTAATAAACATTATAGTATCAAATGCAGGTTTACATATTTTAAGTTATCTGTATAACCTCCCTGAAAAATTCGCAAATTCATTTTTAATTTATGTAATGCTTACCTGACTGTAATTTATTGTACTAAAGTATAATGTAAACCACCACACAGTTTGCTTTAAAAAAAATAATAAATAAATAAAAAAAAATACAGAAAAAAGGAAAAAATATATATCTATAAAAAAGAAAAAAATGTAAAAAAAATGTAAAAAAAGAAAATAAAAAAAATATAAAAAAATGTATGAAAATAAAATAAAAAGAAAAAATGTTTAAAAAAAAATAAATAAATAAAAAAAATGCAAAAAAAAAAAAAAAAAAAAAAAAAAAAAAAAAAAAAAAAAAAAATATGAAGAAAAAAAAATGAAAAATATGCATACACAAAAAAATGAAAAAAAATTATTAAAAAAAGCAAACTGTGGATATAATTTATGTATCATTATTTTATATATTTATCTTTTAAATTGCATGTAAAATTATTTTTGTATTATTCTACTGAAAAAGTGAACAAACTAATATTTTGTATGCTTTTTTTTAATTTTAGTGGTTTGTGTATTAAATTGTTCTTACTATTTTATTTATTTATAAATATTGACAATTTTCCATAATTATAGTAATTTAATCTATTACTTCAAGAATTTAACATTCAGTTTGTATTAAAATTTTGTATTTTTTTAAACCTTTATCCTTATTCATCTTGCAATTTTTATAGTCATATATTGCCAATAACTATATAAACTATTATTTAAAATTCCTATAAAAAATTATCATTTTTGCTAAAAATTATTCCTATTTTGTGAAATATTTTTCCCCTTACATGTCTGATGATAAAGAATCTCTTCGAAAACGATTTGGAGACAGATAAAAGCGGACAATTAGTGGAACTTATACTGAGTTTGACCATTCAGATATTATCTCACTTCCTTTTTGAACCATGATCTAAATAGTGTGACATCTCCCCGTGTATAGTAGTGTGACATCTCCCCGTGTATAGAAGTGTGACTTCACCCCGTGTATAGTAGTGTGACTTCTTGCCGTGTAGCACAGTGAGACAGTTCCCAGTGTGACATAGTGAGAAAAATCTNACAGTGAGACAGTTCCTAGTGTGACATAGTGAGAAAAATCTCCCAGTGACATTTGTTCTACTCATGCACAGAAATTTTATTCAGGACTTACATGAATGAGGTCTCGACATTATTGTTCTATATTGCAACAATCAGCATTACTTGAGCTCCATCAAGTGGTGTTGTTGATATTTACTCTGCAGGATAGACATTGAAACAACAGATATGCGTGTTCTGGTTTACTCTATTGCTTGGTAAAAAGAGCTTCGATCCCGCACAACGTTGTCACATAATAGTGTCGAACTATTTATTCAAAGAGTGCTAATTTCAATGACATTCACGCCTATAAACAGAGTCTAAATAAAATGGGGGTGACTGAAAAAATTTTTGTTTCCTATTGAGAATGAGTTTTCTGCGTTAAAATATTTTCTTTAGTTAAAAGATGCTTATTGTTTCATTGGTTTGTAGAAAAATCGTATGAAAAGTTCGTTTAAAGTATTAAAAGCAGGTTTACATATTTTAAGCTATCTATACAACCTCCATAAAAAATTCGCAAATTCATTTTCAATTTATGTAATGCTTACCGGATTGAAATTTATTGTACTAAAGTATAGTATAAACAGCCGCACGGTTTGCTTAAAAAAATAAAAAAAAAATATACAGAAAAAAAATGAAAAAGAAAAAAAAAATATATATGTATTAAAAGAAGAAAAAAAGAAAAAAAAAAGTAAAAAAATTTAAAAAAAATGTAAAAAAAATATATATAAAAAGAAAAGAATGAAAAAAATGTAAAAAAAAAAAAAAAAAAAAAAAAAAAAAAAAAAAAAAAAAAAAAAAAAAAAAAAAAAAAAAAAAAAAAAAAAATGCAAATAAATAAATAAAAAAAAAAAATAAATATATGTATATAAATAAAAAAAGTGAAAAAAAATTATAAAAAAAAGCAAACTGTGGGGATATTTTATATATCATGATTTTATATATTTATCTTTTAATTTGTATGCAAACTTTTTTTTGTATTATTCTACTGAAAAAGTGAACAAATTGATATTTTGTATGCTTTTTTTAATTGTTGTGGTTTGTGTATTAAATTGCTCTTACTATTTTATTTATTTATAAATATTGACAATTTTCCATAATTATAGTAATTTCATCTATTACTTCAAGAATTAAACGGTGAGTTACATTAAAATTTTTTATTTCTTGAAACCTTTTCGAAATTTTCTTGACCTAATATAGGTTAATTGTGAAATAAATTAATTGCCTTGAACTCTTTGAATTGAAAAAAATTTTAGTATTATGCATTAAAAATCTTTGTACAAGTGTTTTACACTTTTTTCCTCACTATTCATTATAAAATGGGTGAGATACATTGTTTTAAGCTTGGAAATGATGAAAACCTTAAGCACAAGAATTAAATTTTAACTGATGAACGAAATTAAGTACTCCGAACCAAACAATTTATTTTCAATTTTGAAATATCTTTAAGCTAATAAATTTGAATCGATTAATGGAATCCTCAAAAACATTGAATCAAATGAACGATTCATCAACTGTTTCTATTCAGATCATCAACTTAACGTTTCACTCTAAGTGGCTTTATCAGCAGTGCTATAAACTATTAAGAGGACGTTCTTCAAAAGTTGAACCTGTTATTTTAAATATTTACAATGAAATAAATAATAAATAATAATGAAATAAATAATAATTATTTTAAAAAGAGGGTGAAGCCATACCTCTCGTTTTACTTATCGTTCGACTTACTGGAAGCCAAAAATTATGAAATTAAGAGTATTTTTAAAAGCAGAGCGAAGCGTAAATAATTTAAAAAAGCAGAGCTAAATGTTCGTTCCATTCACAGAAAATTAATAAGAATTTGTGCACACTTTCTATGTCCTTAAAACATAATTCATAAGTGCAAACTTTTTTTAAAAATTATTTTGAAGATTTTGTTTAACTTTTGTTTAGTTCTTTTTTTTAAGCTTTTTTTTTTTTTTTCATGGTGGTGATATTTATATTCATGGTTATATGATTGTATGTAAATGAATGGCAAGCTTTATCACGATACCCTCTTACATGAATGCCAGATGTTCTAAGAGTAAATAAATAATAACTTAATTACTCTTTCAAGATTTCAATTAACAATCGTGCTTTATTTTTATTGCAACATTTCATCTAAGACACCAATTTACTAAAAAAAGTCCAAATTTTATTTTTTTTTTAGAAAATTTGTATGTGCGAAACTTTTATGATATACAACAAAAACCTGAATTTTGTCCAAATATTTTAATTAAAATTATAATTTTTTGTCACAGAAGATAAAATAATGCAGAAATCAACAGTTAAAAACGGAAATAAAATGTTGATTAAAGAACACAGTAATTGCTAAGCCATAAGCAAAAATATACTAACTTGAAAGACTTAAATTTAGCAAATTTTTTAATTTAAATTTAATTTTAGCAAATTAAAAATTTAGATTTAGCAAATTCATTAAATTTAGCAAATTTTTGGTATTGTGCATGTCTAATCAAATTAATAAAGTCAACATTCATAAAAGTTTCAATAGTTTTTCTGTCATAGCAAATAAATTTCTTCTACTTTTATGCAATGTTATTTGTACGAGACATTGGCAGAAAATGTTTCGTCTCTTTCTGTTTATCAGCCAATGTTGTATCAGTCATTGAAAAAATTATTTTTTTGCATCTAAAGTGCAGGAAATTATAATAAAAAATAATTTTTATTACACAAAAAAGTTGCGATAATCACCTTGAGTAAGTTAATTTATTAGCAGTTATTATGTACCTTTGTTATTTTTTAAGAAATAATTTTCTCTTTTAATTGATGTTTATCACTTTCTGTAAAAGGCCAATAGACTTGTTGATCTGCAACATTTAGACGACCAGCTTATTTTAGTTTCGGTTTCTTTGAATTGAAATGGACATTTTTAAGGGAAATGGAACAAATAATTAGCTGTATATACAAGTGGATCGAGGAATATACAGAAGCCTTTCACTCTTTGCGTGAGAGTACTTTTAAAATAATGATTTAACTAAGAGGGAAATTTTATACCTGTCCTGTATTCCGTGTGGGGCAGGATAAGGAATCTTAACTATAGAATCAGGATTTTGTATTGCGATTCTATTAATGTATTGAGATATTTAAGGTATTTTTTTATCACTACCAAATTATTAATTAAGAGGACATAATTTTTATTGACGTATTTCATGCATACTAGTATATATTATTATTTTTTTAATTTTAAAAGTTTATTTCAATTTGTGATGAACAGGAAGTATTAAAAGAAGTGTACGCTAATAGTTTCTCTAATGTGCTTTCAAATTAATTCAGTAACACGGACAAGTTTGCAAAAAATGGGTGAAACGTTTGCATTCTAAAACTGAGCTTTTTGTTTTACTTTATTTATGAAATGCTTTTAGTATTATTGAGAAAGACTTTTTCATGACTCTAGCGAAGAAAAATATGCTCAATGTAAATAAAAAATGATGTTCGCAATGGTACAAAAAGTATTTCAACTATGATATTTTAATTTTCATAAAACTATTATAATTTTTTTTTTTAATTTTTAGAGGTCTTGAGTCAGTCATGAGCTTTCAGAAACAAAATATAAAAAAAATCATGTAATTAAATTATGCACTGTTATTTTTGTAACTTTATTACTAAATATTGTCGGTAAGTGTTTAATTTATCTGCAGTAAATGACACTTACCCATAGTTTTTTGTTCTTTTTTGAGAAAACTCATTCGGTTTTCCTTTGAAACTACATTTTTAAAACTTGTTAATGACAGTTACTTCTAAATAAAAGATATTTTTATGATTTTTTATATTCAGTGCAAACTTTAAATCTCAGTTTTTGAAATATTTATTTCGAAAATAATTTTGATCAATGAAATATATTTTCTTAAAATTATGTGGCTGTAATATCAATGCACACAACTATACTGACTCTGCATAGAAAGAATTCACTCCGAAGGAGTGGTTAAGTGCAATGTGTAAAATAAAAATACTAAAGGTAGCTTGCTCTCAGTTTGGTGATGAGTATATTACAAATTCATAATTAATAGGTTAACTTATATTTTCTAAATATTTTCAAATGCGTGACTCGTCGATTATAAAAGTTACATATCTTAAAGAGTTTCTAAATATAAAGTTTTTCTCCTTTAAACGTACTTCCCTTCTTTGATTTTTAAAAATTGCCGGGTCATTTCCAACATGAATCTTAACTATTTTCAAGTTAGAAAAACTGCCAGAAAAGAAACAAATATCCTGAATTTTCAATGTTAATGTGCCCAATGAGTTAAATATTTAACTAGTAATTGATTGTCTGTGCAAAACATTGGCAATAATTGCAGCTTAAAAATTTAAATATATAGAGCACAGTTACAGGTTTTGTTTTAAATATGTATTATCCCTATTGTTTAGTATTTAACTAGTATATGAACTGCCGTGATGAGCACTCATTTTTTCTTAAACTTCTGCAAATTTGGAAGAGTTTCAAATTGTTGGTCGGTTGATTATTATGTCAAAAAGAAACCAATATATCATTGAAGAGATTTTTTATTTTTAAATTTATTTTGCAAATTTTTTATGTCCTTAATAGTATTCAAATTAGTATCTTTGGAATTTAAATGCCATAAAAACTCATTGCATTAAAAAAAATGAACAAGGAACGAACTCACAATTCTCTCTTAACTTTAGTCTTATAAGTCAATTAATCATGTTGTCAAAAAAACAAAATATCTTACATATACCATTTTTTTAAAAGAAATTTCACTACGCTTTTGTTCGTTTATGGTCAACAGTTTAACCACGAAACTGTGAGTTGGCACTTCTTTTCTTTGTAGTTTAGCCCTGAGATTAGAGATGAGCTCTCAGGTTTTGGATAGTGACTCCCAGCGTTTCAACCGAAAAAGGCTTTTTACTGGGCCAGCGAATTTCAATCTCTCTATAACTCGCGGATAGCCAGAAAGTATCGGAAATAATTTATGATAATACCCATGCACGAATGATAATATAACAACCGTTCCTAACGTTAGTGTTTTAAATTATCACATAGAAGTACGAACTAAAAAGAAAAAAACGCAAAAACACACTCTCAACTATGAGAAACGGGGGGGGGGGATAAAGTTCAATAGACGTACGACGACAGTACTACCTGTCAATAGCTCATTCTAATAAATATATTTTGCTTTTTGCTCGATAAATTAAAATGCGAAATCCATGAAATTGTCAGTAATATATTTTTCTGAAATTAAGAAAAAATTTATTTCGTGATAAGTATAAAAAATTTTCAATATTATGATAATATGCAAATTGTGTAAATGATGA